GAGGAAGAAGATTTACAGTTGCGATAGGGAAGAAGAAGAGTTTAGTTGGGTCAATTTTTTAATTTTTTTAGATTTTGGGCCTTTTCTTCAGTTAGGCTTTTCGAGGAAAAAAAATAAAAATAGGCCCCATTACGAATTTATTGGCCCATTAATTTATTGTTTGTAAAATGGACCTCAACATCTTATCCGTTGTTAAAAAAATGTACTCTATATTGATCACGTGAAACTCTTTTTGTTCATAGACTAATTTTGACCAAAAAAACTCATGGTCGCCGATACTTTTGTGCTCACACTGGACGAAATCTCTGGCTCTGCCTCTTACTAGAATGTTTATATGTTCCAAAATCACAAGTATGATCTCATGTACGTAGATTATGCGTTTTAAGTGTCATGTGTGACTAATAAATTATTGTGATTTATATGTTTATAAGATATCTTGAGTTATGATAATCATAAATAGGCTATGAGATTTCTTAATGATGATTCCATTATAATTATAATCAAGAAAGATGAAATTGTGGATAGATATACGTGTTGCTTATGTGAATGTTCATGTTTATGCCGTATGTTAGAAATTATTTACAAGAACAAGCTGAGGATTTTATCAGAATGAAAAACAGAAGTGAAGTTAATTAAAAATCCGTATAAATTTTATGAATATTATAATTAATTTAAATGTATGTTTAAACAAGAATTCATCACAATGACACAATGTGATATGAGCTCTTATTAGGGATGATAATGGACCGAGTCGGCACGAACTCGTCTCGTTACTCCTCAAGGGTCAAGCTCGGCTCGGCTCGGCCCATGAACTCGTGAGCTCACAAGTCGAGCCGACCCAAGAGCTCAAAATATATATTTTTTTAAATTTTTTTTACTCTTTTTTTCCCATTTTATTACGAGCCCAAGAGTGAATTTTAGGCTCGTGGGCATTCGCCCATGGGTGAGCCAAGCAAGTTTGGCTCACCTTGCGAGCAAGCCTGCTTGGCTCGTGCTCGGCCTCGTTCAAATACGAGCCTGAGTTGCCCACGAGTCGAGCAGCCGAGTCTATGAACCCTCGACTCGATTGCCACCCCTAGTTCTCATGATGTTAATCATACCTGGCGATTATGATCAAGCTTAGAAAGAAGTGTGTTCAACTAAATAATTTACGGACCTTACTATCAACAAATCACTTGTCGCGTTGCTATCTATCTATATGTTACATGTACACTTTGACAAATCATTAAGCACCAAGATCACCTTCAGAAAAATGGTCCGAAGATCATTGATACTCCGGCAGTCAAATTAAGGATTAGTTGCCAGGGCACTATGCCTGGAATGGCGTCAAACCTATTGGCACTTTACTGTCAAACTTCTAGCAAAGAGTGGTTCATAGGGGTTAAGTTGGTCATAAGGACTATCCATGCGTAGATCATATAGATCTACGTGGAAAGAAGGCAAAGCTTATAGGCCAACTTGACCCACAATTTTTAACGAATTTTCAATAATACATTTCATCGAATTTTATCAAATTCTACTAAAAATTTAATTTTTTTTAGAACCAAACAAGGGATAAAAGTGCTTTATAAGATACCTATGTGCAATCATCACACAAGTGTCATGCTATTCACTGACGTTGTTTTGTCATTCTTTCATCGACAACATTTAAGATGATATTATTGAAGGTTGGCATAAGCTCTCAGATGACATGTATGTTGGGTATCAATCGTAAACTATGTATTTGTCACAATTGTAAATATTAAGATTTCTATAATTTTATATTTTACTTTGTAAATGTTTTTATTTTACACTTGTTTCATGACAATAGATATTTAAATTCAGGGACGGAGCCAGAAAATAATGTTAGGATGGATTGAAACTTAAATTTTTTTTTAATGAACTTACGCCACAAGAAATCGGTTTTGGAGGCTATTCTTGTGACATTCACAATAAAAAGTATACGACACTCAATGAAAAAAAAAATAAGTTTAGATATCTCACATTAATATATTTTACTAAATCTTTGTATTTTTTTACTAAACGCTTACTTTAAAAAATATAAACTAACTGAATCATAATAGAAATAAACAAATGAAAATTTTAAAAAATACTGAATGAGTACTCTTCTAATAACTTTTACAACCAATCTTTTCGTACAACTGAAACTTGATTGAAACATGCAATCAATAATATATCACTATAATCCATATGTTATTGTCTCAAAATGTTATTTGGCGTTTTCATCGATCTTCTATATCATTGCACTTCAAAGTGAGTGAAGAATCTCAATCAAAGTAAGAAAAGCCAACTAAGAATTTCGAGGGTTAAAGAAATTAAATAAAATTCACGTCCATTTTCTGCTCAATTTCAAGAATATACTCGTATCTATATTACTTCATAAATAGATATATTTTATCAAATATTCTTTTATTGTCAATATCAAATCTATAGTAAGTTATTTATTTTAATCATAATATCTATTTTATGGTCAAAATAAGTAATTTTTTTAAAATAAATATGAATAAATAATAAATAAAAACAAACACAGAAATAAAAAATAATAATTACTTTTAAATTTTGAAAAATATGTAGTGTCTCTAACTATTAAAATAAGTAATTTACTTTTAAATTTAATCAATACAAATTATCTAAAATAAAATTTACTTAATAATTATAAGTAAATTTTAGTCAAACATACATTAAATAGAATATCTAATTTGACAATAAAATATTCACATTTTATGAATTTCATGAAACGAGTAATTAATAATTAGTGTTTTTATACAATTTAAATAATTGAACATTGGACTTGGGTTAAGATTCAAGCTAGAGTTGGACTAATGCTAATATTTGGGTCAAAACTCTACACTTTCTTCTTAATTTTTTATATGGGTTGGAGAATAGTGTGCTAATGCTAACATTTGGGCAAAAACTCTACATTTTCTTCTTAATTTTTTATATGGGCTGAGGAGTAGTGTTGGGCTACAGCCCAGCATGCCCCCCCCCCACTACGTTAAATCATCCCTGTGGGATCTCATGCTACGATTCGATAGAATACAATGGGGAATGGATCAGGTAAAGCAAATCTCTCTTTCAGCCTCTCAGAATAACAATTACTCACATCAAATATGGATCGAACTGTCTCGTGAAGTTTTCAACCCAGCTCATGCATAACCATATCAACCTTTAGAGCATACCATAGTCCCAGTTAGATCAACTTTCTTTTGTGGTATTTGAATCTATGTTGTCGTGAGATTTATAATTAAATGATATTTTTAGCTTTCAATTTTTTATTTTTTTTAAATGCTTATAAATTTTGTAATTATAAGTTTTTACATCTTTTATGCAAAAATTGTCGAAAGCAAGTATTCCAAAATAAATCTAAATTAATTAAAAAGGAATATTGGGTGACAGAGTCTGCTCATATTTACGTCAATTCTAAAAACCGAACCACTGTATTAATTCATTTTCCACTCCAGTTAATCTAATGTTACACTGGAGGTCACTCAACTTTTACCATACTTACAAATAGGTCAATCGGAATTTACCTTGATGCAATCAGGACAATAAACTTAATTTATGCGCAATTAAAATTAGGTCTGTTCATTTGGATTTTGTCAATCAGCCTACTATGACTGGCTAATTTAAAATGGTTGATTAAGTGATTTAATCTATTTATATGAAAGATATCTAATATAAACCAAGAACTTGAACCAAGGAATGAAGCATTCTTTATGATCCCATTTTAATTTTATTTTTATTTTTTTCCTAAAATATCCATTTCAACTCTTCAGCAATAAGTTTAACATTATACATCGATTCCCTTGTATCTAGAAAATCCGCTACTTGGATTATTGATTGTCCATAGTATTCTAAGGATCGCTATTTTTCACAACATCACATTGATGTTACAATTGATAGAAAATCTATCTCCAATTGTGTCGTGGGGATTGATTTCTCTTAAATTAAAGTACAGGGTTATGATTCCATGAAATGAAGTCAGTAACTTAATTGCAAGTATGGTGAAAGTTTAGTAAGACTTCAATACAATTTTAGATTAGTTGGCATGGAAAATGGGCTGACACGTTAGCATAAATTATTAGTTTTAGTGAACGTGTCAACACACTCATCAATGGAACATAAATGGAGTGAATTGACTGCTTGTAAATCGAAGTACAGTGACTTGATTGCATCAGATTAAATTTCAATGACCCAGTTGCAAGTACGGTGAAAGTTCGATGACCATTGGTGCAATTTACCTTACATTTGATTAACTACAAATTGATTGCACAAGTTAGGGACAAAACTGGAATCATTTTGAACTAAATCAGTTTGTGATGGGCAGATTACCAAGACAGGATGCAGTGATAAACTAAATGGAAAGATTGAGGAGCAAAGGACCACAGCTATCAAAAAGGATTAAAGAGGGGTAATTCCCTTGTTATATTTTCAAGATGATTGTTTCATGGAACATTAGGGGGTTGAACCTCCCCCAAAATAAAAATGAGGTTCGGAATTTCATAAAGTGTATGATATTGATATTATGAGTGTTTTGGAAACTAAGTTTAGGCAACCTAAACTAGACCGGGTGATGCGAAATAAATTTGGAGGTTTCTCGGAAATCAACAACCTTCATACCCATCAAGCTAGACAGATTTTGATTTTGTGGAATTCTATGAAAGTCCAAGTGAATATTTTGGAGATTACATCTCAAATTATTCATTGCTTTGCAACTTGTAAGGTTAGTTCACTTACTATTCTTGTTTGCCTTGTCTATGGTTTTCATACTATTGTGAATAATAGGCCACTTTGGAATAACATCTTGGAGTATGGATCAAATCGTTTCTTGCCTTAGTTGATCATGGGAGATTTCAATAATGTGCTCAAATTTGATGAAAAATGTAATGGGGTGGATGTTAACCCAGTATGGGGTAAAGGATCTTGCTAATATGTGCCTCAATATTGGATTAACAGATATGAGATGTATTGGTTGTTTCTACACTTGAACTAATAGCTCGATGTGGAGTAAGCTTGATAGGGCTATGGTGAACAATGATTGGGTACAAGTGGGGTTTAATAATCTTGCTAATTTTCTACCATCAAGATGCCTTTTCGATCGCTCATCATGCATTGTATCACTCTTTGGGCTTGATAAAAGCAAGAAAAATACTCTTAGGTTCTTCAATATGTGGATCAACCATGAAAGCTTCCATGAGGTTGTACAAAATTGCCGGGAACTTGAGGTTAGGGGAACGAAGCAACTCACTCTATGTAAAAAGTTGCAAAGTCTTAAGGTGAGGCTTAAGAAGCTTAATAAGAAACATTTTGCCCACATTTCCAAGAGGGCCGATATGGCTACTTTGGCTTTGAAAGAGACACAAGTGGAATTACATGATGATCATCTTAATGTTGAACTTCAAAGTAATGTAGCACGCACGAGGAAAAAAGCTTTGGGTCTTTGTGAAGGGGAAATGAGCTTTTATTTCCAAAAAGTTAAACGTGAGCACTTTAAGAATAGTGATAAATGCACCAAATTCTTTCACTCGATGGTAAAGAGGAATGCCAAAAAGAATTTCATTGCTACCGTGTGTGAAGAGATGGTTCACATACTTCTTTATTGGAGGAAATGGCCAATGAATTCAAGCAAATTTACACTGACTTACTAGGAAAAACAGCCTGGAGCAACCTATTAACAATGATATATTGAAGGGGGGAGGGGGTTTCGTGTTATCAAAAGAGCATGGTTTGGCATTAATTTGGGAGATTTCGAGACAAGAGATCAAATATACGTTATTTTCTATTGGAGATGATAAATCCCTGAGTCCGGATAGATACTCATCTTGCTTCTTCGAAAAGTCTTGGGGTATTATTGGCAGAGAATTTTATGCGAGTGGTCAAAGAATTCTTTAATTCTAGCTCACTACTTAAGCAAATGAATCACACGATCATTGCTTTGGTGCCTAAGGCAAATCATGCAACTACCATGGAAGACACAGGCATATTGCTTATTGTAATGTATTGTATAAGGTTATCACTAAGATCTTTGCCTCTCAGTTGGGCCCTACTCTTAGTACTATTATTGATCAAGCACAAGCCGCGTTTGTGGAAGGTAGAAGCATGACGAAAAACATTCACCTTACTCAAGAGCTTCTTAGTCAATACAACCGTAAGAGAGTTGCTCATAGATGCCTTTTCAAAATTGATCTTAGGAAGGCATATGATTCGTTTAATTGGGAGTTCCCAAAAATGTGCTTGAAGGGCTTGGATTTCCAACAAAATTCATTGAATAGGTGATGCAATGCATTACTACACCTACTTATTCCATTACGCTAAATGGGAACCTTTATGGATTCATAAAGAGGAGGAGGGGACTTCGTCGAGGTGACCCTTTACCGCTATTTTTGTTGTTATTTGTCTTGAATATTTCTCTAGAATGTTAAAGGGAGCAACCAATAATAGTGAGTTCAACTATCATTCCTAAATGTGACCCTTTGAAGATAATTCACTTAGCATTTGCGGATGATTTGATGATTTTTACTAAAGGGAATGTTATTTCGGTTGGTATCTTGATGGAGTGCTTATTCAACTTTGGAGACATGTTAAGATTAAGGATGAATGTGAACAAGTCTAAGTTGTACACGGCGAGAGTTCATGGGCAAGAGTTGGTGGATATTCATCAATTAACAAAAATGGCTAAGGGATCTATGCCTTTTTGTTATTTGAGAATACCACTTGCAGGGGAAAAGTTGAATTATCTCTTATGACTCGTTTATCAACAAATTTCAGCCTATGTTGGAGAGCAGAACTTGTGAGATCCATTCTTCAAGGTGTGAAATGTTTTTGATTTTCCATTCTACCTATTCCGATCGTAGTTACATCAAAGATTTATAGTCTTCGTTGTAACTTTCTTTGGAATTCTAAAAAGCCATTGATTGCTTGGAAAGAGTATTTGCTTGCCGAAATATGAGGGAGGGCTTGGATTTAGAGATATCAAATGTTGGAACTCAACACTCCTTGTTAAAACTCTTTGAAACATTCATAGCAAGAAGGACACTCTTTGGGTAAAGTGGGTAAATCAGATTTTTCTACGTGGGACTGATATTTGGAAGTACACCATGATTTATATGTTTATAAGATATCTTGAGTTATGATAATCATAAATAGGCTATGGGATTTCTTAATGATGATTCCATTATACTTATAATCAAGAAAGATGAAATTGTGGATGGATATACGTGTTGCTTATGTGAATGTTCACGTTTATGCCATATGTTACAAATTATTTACAAGAAAAAGCTGAGGATTCTATAAGAATGAAAAACAGAAGTGTGAAGTTAATTAAAAATCGTATGAATTTTATGAATATGATAATTAATTTAAATGTATGTTTAAACAAGAATTCATCACAATGTGATATGAGCTCTTATTAGGGATGACAATGAACCGAGTCGGCACGAACTCTTCTCGTTACTCCTCAAGGGTCGAGCTCGGCTCGGCCCATGAACTCGTGAGCTCACAAGTTGACCTAAGCCACAAGCTCAAAATATATTTTTAAATTTTTTTTTAACTCTTTTGTTCCCATTTTTTTACGAGCCCACGAGTGAACTTTAGGCTCGTGGGCATTCGCCCATTGGTGAGCTGAGCGGGTTCGGTCACCTTGCGGTAAGCCCACTCGGCTCATGCTCGGCCTCGTTCAAATACAAGCCTGAGCTACCCACGAGTCGAGCGGCCGAGCCGATGAACCGCTCGACTTGATTCCCACCCCTAGTTCTCATGATGTTAATCTTACCTGGTGATTATGATCAAGCTTAGAAAGAAGTGTGTTCAACTAAATAGTTTACAGACCTTACTATCAACAAAACACTTGTCGCGTTGCTATCTATCTATATGTTAGATGTACACTTTGACAAATCATTAAGCACCAAGGTCACCTTTAGAAAAATGGTCCGAAGATCATTGATACGCCAACAGTCAAATTAAGGATTAGTTGCCAGGGCACTATGCCTTGAATGGCATTAAACCTATTGGCAATTTACTGTCAAACTTCTAGCGAAGAGTGGTTCATCAGAGGGGTGAAGTTGGTCGTAAGGACTATCCATGCGAAGATCATATAGATCTACATGTAAAGAAGGCAAAGCTTATAGGCCAACTTGACCCACAATTTTTAACGACTTTTCAACAATACATTTCATCAAATTTTACTAAAAAATTAAATTTTTTTTTTTTTAAAGAACCAAACAAGGGCTAAAAGTGCTTTATAAGATACCTATGTGCAATCATCGCACAAGTGTCATGCTATTCACTAACTTTGTTTTGTCATTCTTTTATCTACAACATTTAGGATGATATTCTTGAAGGTTGGCATGAGCTCTCAGATGACATGGCTGATATTGGTATATTTAAATCATTCCTGTGGGATCTCATGCTACGATACGAGTAGAATACATAGGGGCATGGATCAGGTAAAGCAAATCTCTCTTTCAGCCTCTCGGAATGACAATTAGCCACATCGAATATGGATCGAACTATCTTATGAATTTTTCAACTCAGCTCATATATAACTATAATGGACGAACAGTTCAACCCCTATAGCATATTATAGTCCTAGTTAGATCAACTTTCTTTTGTGGTACCCTACCCATAGGGTAATTTGAATCTATGTTGTCATGAGATTTATAATTGAATGATATTTTTAGCTTTCAATTTTTTTTTTTAAATGCTTATAAATTTTGTAATTATAAGTTTTTACATCTTTTATACAAATATTGTCGAAAGCAAGTATTCCAAAATAAATCTAAATTAATTAGAAAGGAAAATTGAGTGACAAAATCTGCTCATATTTACGTCAATTCTAAAAACCGAACCACTGTATTAATCCATTTTTCCACTTCAGTTAATCTAATGTTACACTGGAGGTCACTCAACTTTTACCATACTTACAAATAGGTCAATCGGAATTTACCTTGATGCAATTAGGACAATATACTTAATTTATGCACGATTAAACTTAGGTCTGTTCATTTGGATTTTGTCAACCAGCCTACTATGATTAGCTAATTTAAAATGGCCGATTAAGTGATTGAATCTATTTATATGAAAGACATCTAATATAAACCAAGAACTTAAACCAAGGAATGAAGCATTCTTTATGATCCCATTTTAATTTTAATTTTATTTTTTTCTAAAATATCCATTTCAACTCTTCAGCAATAAATTTAACATTATATCTCGATTCCCTTGTATCTAGAAAATCCGCTACTTGGATTATTGATTGTCCATAGTATTCTAAGGATCGCTATTTTTTCACAACATCACATTGATGTTACAATTGATAGAAAATCTATGTCCAATTGTGTTGTGGGGATTGATTTCTCATAAATTAAAGTATAGGGTTATGATTCCACGAAATGAAGTCCGTAACTTAACTGCAAGTATGGTGAAAGTTTAGTAAGCCTCCAATACAATTTTAGATTAGTTGGCATGGAAAACGGGCTGACACGTAGCATAAATTATTAGTTTTAGTGAATGTGTCAACATACTTATCAATGGAACTAAATGGAATGAATTGACTGCTCTTAAATCGAAGTACAGTGACTTGATTACATCAGATTAAATTTCAATGACCTAGTTGCAAGTATGGTGAAAGTTCGATGACCACTGGTGCAATTTATCTTACGTTTGATTAACTACAAATTGATTGCACAAGTTTGGGACAAAACTGGCACCATTTTGAACTAAATCAGTTTGTGATGGGCGGATTACCAAGACAGGATGCAGTGATAAACTAAACGGAAAGATTGAGGAGCAAAGGACCACATCTATCAAAAAGGATTAAAGAGGGGTAATTCCCTTGTTATATTTTCAGGATGATTGCTTCATGGAACATTAGGGGGTTGAACCTCCCTCAAAATAAAATGAGGTTCGGAATTTCATAAACTAGTATGATATTGATATTATGAGTGTTTTGGAAACTAAGTTAAGGCAACCTAAGCTAGACCGGGTGATGCGAAATAAATTTGGAGGTTTCTCGGAAATCAACAACCTTCATACCCATCAAGCTAGACGGATTTTTATTTTGTGGAATTCTATGAAAGTCCAAGTGAATATTTTGGAGATTACATCTCAAATTATTCATTGCTCTACAACTTCTAAGGTTAGTTCACTTACTATTCTTGTTAGCTTTGTCTATGGTTTTCATACTATTGTGAATAATAGGCTACATTGGAATAACATCTTGGAGCATGGATCAAATTGTTTCTTGCCTTAGTTGATCATGGGAGATTTCAATAATGTGCTCAAATTTGATGAAAAATGTAATGGGGTGGATGTTAACTCCGTATGAGGTAAAGGATCTTGCTAATATGTGCCTCAATATTGGATTAATAGATATGAGATCTATTGGTTGTTTCTACACTTGAACTAATAGCTCGATGTGCAGTAAACTTGATAGGGCTAAGGTGAACAATGATTGGGTACAAGCGGGGTTTAATAATCTTGCTAATTTTCTACCATCAAGATGCCTTTTCGATCACTCATCATGCATTGTATCACTCTTTGGGCTTGATAAAAGCAAGAAAAAGACTTTTAGGTTCTTCAATATGTGGATCAACCATGAAAGCTTCCATGAGGTTGTACAAAATTGTCGGGAACTTGAGGTTAGGGGAACGAAGCAACTCACTCTATGTAAAAAGTTGCAAAGTCTTAAGGTGAGGCTTAAGAATCTTAATAAGAAACATTTTGCCCACATTTCCAAGAGGGCGGATATGGCTACTTTGGCTTTGAAAGAGACACAAGTGGAATTACATGATGATCGTCTCAATGTTGAACTTCAAAGTAATGTAGCACGCATGAGGAAAAAAGCTTTAGATCTTTGTGAAGGGGAAATGAGCTTTTACTACCAAAAAGTTAAATGTGAGCACCTTAAGAATAGTGATAAATACACCAAATTCTTTCACTCGATGGTAAAGAGGAATGCCAAAAAGAATTTCATTGCTACCGTGTGTGAAGAGATGGTTCATATACTTCTTTATTGGAAGAAATGGCCAATGAATTCAAGCAAATTTACAGTGACTTACTAGGAAAAACAGCCCGAGGCAACCTATTAACAATGATATATTGAAGACCGGGGGTGGGGGGGGGAGGGGTTTCATGTTATCAAAAGAGCATGGTTTGGCATTAATTTTGGAGATTTCGAGACAAGAGATCAAAGATACATTATTTTCTATTGGAGATGATAAATCCCTGAGTCCGGACGGATACTCATCTTGCTTCTTCGAAAAGTCTTGGGGTATTATTGGTAGAGAATTTATGCGAGTGGTCAAAGAATTCTTTAATTCTAGCTCACTACTTAAGCAAATGAATGACACGATCATTGCTTTGATGCCTAAGGCAAATCATGCAACTACCATGGAAGACTATAGGCATATTGCATGTTGTAATGTATTGTATAAGGTTATCACTAAGATCCTTGCCTCTCAGTTGGGCCCTACTCTTAGTACTATTATTGAGCAAGCACAAGCCGCGTTTGTGAAAGGTAAAAGCATGACGAAAAACATTCACCTTACTCAAGAGCTTCTTAGTCAATACAACCGTAAGAGAGTTGCTCATAGATGCCATTTGAAAATTGATCTTAGGAAGGCGTATGATTCGTTTAATTGGGAGTTCCCAAAAATGTGCTTGAAGGGCTTGGATTTCCAACAAAATTCATTGAATAGGTGATGCAATGCATTACCACACCAACTTCTTCCATTACGCTTAATGGGAACCTTTATGGATTCATAAAGAGGCGGAGGGGACTTCGTCGAGGTGACCCTTTACCACTATTTTTGTTGTTATTTGTCTTGAATATTTCTCTAGAATGTTAAAGGGAGCAACCAATAATAGTGAGTTCAACTATCATTCCTAAATGTGACCCTTTGAAGACAATTCACTTAGCATTTGCGGATGATTTGATGATTTTTACTAAAGGGAATGTTATTTCGGTTGGCATCTTGATGGAGTGCTTATTCAACTTTGGAGACATGTCAAGATTAAGGATGAATGTGAACAAGTCTAACTTGTACACGGCGAGAGTTCATGGGCAAGAGTTGGTGGATATTCAACAATTAACAAATATGGCTAAGGGATCTATGCCTTTTCGTTATTTGAGAATACCACTTGCAGGGGAAAAGTTGAAATTATCTCTTATGACTCGTTTATCAACAAATTTCAGCCTATGTTGGAGAGCGGAACTTGTGAGATCCATTCTTCAAGGTGTGAAATGTTTTTGATTTTCCATTCTACCTATTCCGATCATAGTTAAATCAAGGAGTTTTAGTCTTCGTCGTAACTTTCTTTGGGATTTTAAAAAGCCATTGGTTGCTTGGAAAAAGTATTTGCTTGCTGAAATATGAGGGAGGGCTTGGATTTAGAGATATCAAATGTTGGAACTCAACACTCCTTGTTAAAACTCTTTGAAACATTCATAGCAAGAAGGACACTCTTTGGGTAAAGTGGGTAAATCAGATTTTTCTACGTGGGACTGATATTTGGAAGTACACCATGAAGAAAGTTCTTCATTGTTTAAAAGGCTATTGGAAATACATGACCAGATTACTCGACCTAAACGAATTGTTCAGGCCGCTGTAAGGGATAGGTTGTCCAATTGGATATCTTTATGCAACTTCAACATTTCAATCACATATGATATTTTCAAACCGAAGGGCGATGTAAACTAGGCGGCAACTATTTGGAATGTTTCCATCACCCTTAAGCATGCTTTTATCTTATGGCTTGGTGCTAATTCCAAGTTATTAACTAAGGACAAATTAAGACACTTAGAGATAGACCGAAATTGAAATTTTGTGGAGTTGGGATAGAGACGGAACAACACTTATTTTTCACCTGTCAGTTCAGTGCACATGTTTGGGGAAAGATTTGTGCATGGCTTGGCATTAGACGCTTTATGTCCACGATCCCTTGTGTATTGAAGTCGATTAAAAAGGAATCTCGAGGGATGATTTGACATAGTAAAGCTAAGAGAATTGCTTTTGCTAGCACTGTTTACCACTTATGGACGGTACGAAACGGGAAGACTTTTGAGAGCCTTAGATTGTAGGTTGATAGCATTGTTAGACAAATTAAAACACACGTATATAAAATTATGTTTTCTTTGTATCCGTATGTTTTAATTTACTTTCAGTCTAAGGCATTAGACTGCTAGATTTTCTCATTTGTACATCTTTTCCTTTTTGTTTGCCCGAATATGCTCGGGATATATGTATTTGTACTTGATCTTTCTTTGTCTGGGTATGCTTGTGAACTTGTATTCGTACTTGATCTTTGATTATCTGAGTAGCCCAATGTACTTATCTATGATTTTTTATCAGTATATTGCACATTTACTGATGAAAAAAAAAATGTCGAACTAATCTTAAATTACATGGTCCAATCTAATCTAAGCCTATTTTTTCAATTCTTTACCTTTCGATAATATGGAACTTATCATGTCTTTTTATATGTTCACAACTTCAAAGAAATGTTATCAAATTATAATATTTTCACTTTACACCTAAGCTTCTCATTACCGGATTATTTTGTATTTCACCGCTTCAATATTAAGAGTAACTATTAGCAACACATCAATAAGAGGTAGGCACCACATTGTTCAGTTCGAGTATTTTGAGGTCGAATTTAATCGATTCATCACTGGAAACTGTGAAAATTAAAACAATATGATTCAATTCTTTTATGCTTCAAATATAAATTGTATTCTGCAAACTGTTGCGGTAATTTTCTCATTTCACTTTTCACGCTTTCTATTTTGAATAATAAAAATAAATAGATTATGGATACATATTAATTCATATATATAATTTAATTAAGAAGTTAATAAAGAAAATGTTTTAGAACCATATCAAAGTTTAGTTCCATAGTTAGAGCCGAAAACCATACAAGAGCTATTTGTTTCTTAATTCTACGAATTTAGAACCAGACTTATTTTAATTGAAATTGTATTGTATTGAAAGCTCAATTTAGTTCGTTTCTGGTCTTGTTAGATTGTTCGAGATAAAAATGTACACCCCTACAATTCAATATTACCTACAAATATTGATTGTCTCTATTAAAGATCAACTTCAAATCAACTTTAAAAGAAATATTTCGAACTTTTCAAAATGAGTAGTTCGATGAGCCCATAAAGCAGTCAAGTTAAGAGATCGACCACTAAACATAGTGAAAAGCAACCTGAGCATTAAGCTCATTTTTCGTGTAAATTAAAGTAAAATATACTAAAAATTTTGATAAAAAAAATTTAATAAAATGTCTAATTAAAAATAAATATTGGTTTGACTTGAAATTTTTATTATTTTTAAGGGAAAATATCACAAATCGGGTATATATATATATATATATACCACCCTCACTCGTCATCATTGCAACCCCCACAAATCGCACTACCACTACCACAACAAAATTGCCACGACCAGATCCAATCTACTACCAACAACTTAATAAATTGTGAGTCACAATCATATTTTTAAGTTACATATTTATTTTTAATCACAAATTAACCAATTTATTTGTCAAAATCACTCAAAATCCGACCACGCCCCACTCCACCATGGCCACCAATAGAATGCCACATCACCACTCGAAACAACCCACCAAAATCACCACCAACTACAGCATCCATGTCGGTATGACCATAGCTACAACCACCGCCATCACCTGCTAGAATGTTACCTTACCACGTGAAACAACCACCACCACGTAAAACCACTACAGAACCACCATTAAGAACTGCATCACCTCTGCCAGCACCATTGCTACCAAAACCATCACAACCATCACCTGCAACACCATCACCACTTTGCAAAACATCAACAAACCCCCTAAAACTCCAATATCCACAACGTAAACCACCTACGACAAACCGAATAAAAAATTACTGTAGAAGACGACTGCTGCGAGGCCCAACCACGCTAGATCTATGTTTCGCAGCAAAGTGTTGCTAAGCACAACTAAGGCTGGACAAGGTCCGATTCAATTAAATTCTAACGAGAACCGAATCGAACCCTAAATTTTCGGGTATTTAGTAAGTAAAATCGTCGGATCCAAATTTAATTATAAAACCATCCGGATTCGGTTCTACTTGATTTCTAAGTTCTGTACTATAATTAATTTTTTTTAATATTTATAAAGTTGCATTAATTCTACTAATGATATGTTCAATTATAACTCTTATAAAATAACGTAGTACAATTTTATGTCTCTTTTATGTCTCTCTTTACGGATAATTAGCTTAAGAAGAACCACTCAATTTGGTTCAACTTGGTTCGGGTCCGATTCAATTTAGTTCAGTTTGGTTTGGGAGTAGGGATGGCAACAGAGCGGGTATGGGACGTGTCGGCCATTCCCACCTTCGTCCGTCAGGTATTTTTGTTATCTTACTACATACACATACCCATACCCATACCCGATTAAAACGGGACAAGACGAGTTCGAGGCGAGGTATGTCCCTTGCCTCATTTATTTTTTCTTTTTATTTTTTATTTATTTTATTTTTTGCTTTTATTATTTATAGCTTTAGTTAGTAAATATTTTTGCTTTTTTACCGATTTGTTAGGTTCTTTTTAAAAATGATGATAAATCTATCATTTTGTTTGATAAAAACTTAAATTTGAAATTAGCTTTAAATGGAGCGGGTAGCGAGGCCGGGACTATGTTTCCCATATTCGCCACATACCCGCATGGGGGCATACCTTTCACATTTACCCGGTTAGGCGGGTATTTCCCACACCATTTGAGGTGGGGACCTACGAGTATCAGGTTGAATGGGTTCTTTTGCCATCTCTATTCGGGAGTTTTGCCCCCTATGCACAAAGATACTGCTTCGTCGTGCTCAGTAAACATAATTGACGGTCGCGTCATGCCAGAAGAGTTGTGCCGACGCTGAAACCAACGGTGCTGTCGCAATAAAGCGCAGCTACACGCATCGATACTGCTTTGCCGTGTGCATTAAACAGGATCAACGATCACGTCATGCCAGAGGAACAGTGCCGACCTCAAAAGAGAGAGGTGTCAGGTAGGTGAAGAGAGAGGGATAAAGATAGTGAAGATAGAGAGAACATAGGTAGGAAATGAATTAGGGTTTGAGACTTTAATTGAATTTGGTAGATGTGGTGGGTTAGGTGGATTAATTTAATTTTATATTATTATTATTTAAAAATAAATTATCACTTGATTTTTGAATAAAAAATCCTTAGACTTTATTTTTGAATTGAAAACTTAAAAATCAGGTGTGTAATTTCCACTCATTTTAATCTAAACAAAATAAGGGCCCAAGTGTATAAGCCCATTAAGATAGTGAAACTTTGCAGTTTGAACCAAACTTCTTTCATACTCGATGCGGCCCAAATATTGACAAATCACATTCGGCCCATTCTCATTATCCATCAAATCCACCACCTCACATTTTAATTCTGTCAATCAAAATTCCTCCGATCTCTGATCTGAATCAGAGAGAGACAGATAGTGAAGAAAATTTTCGCTACAATGGTTGGATCGTCGAGTTCATGGTCAACTGCTTTGGTTAAGATCTCTCCGTACACCTTCGCCTCCATCGGAATCGCCATATCTATCGGCGTTTCCGTCCTTGGCGCCGCCTGGTATCTCTTCTATTCTTTCAAAGCCTGTTGTGTATTTCGTTACTTTATATCTGATTTCTCAAACTGTGCAAAATTGTAGGGGAATATATATAACAGGGAGTAGTTTAATCGGTGCTGCAATTAAAGCTCCTCGCATTACTTCCAAAAATCTCATCAGGTACCAATATTTTTTTCTAATAACACGTTCGAGACCTGAGCTCTTGAAACTCAATTATGTAAATTGTGTATTCAATTTTATATGAACGTATGTTTTATTCTTTTAATTGAATCGAATTTTCTGTTAAGAATCAGATGTGCTTAAACGAGATAACATCTTATGGGGACGTCGAGTAGACAAAGTTTTAACCATCATATAAGGGTTAAACTACTTCTCTTAATAAAATGTTGGTCTTTTAAGGTTGAGCCCTAAGTCTTAATAAAGACAGTTAAGGCTGGATATCTATCCATGTGTATTCCTGTATTAGTTATCAAATACTTGGACGAGTACTTCGGTGGGTCCCCCTCTTGCAATAGGCAAGAGGAAATTGTCCCTACAGCAATTTTCTGAGAGAAAAATAAAAAAATTTAGATAAAAAGACAACAAAAATAGAAATTTGATCTTATTTCTACTCTTGGTCTTTCAGTCTCATATTTCTTCCAACTTTTTTGCTTTATTTATTCTGCACATATTTTCTAAACGGAGTATATAGATGTATATGTCTGACTTACAGGTCTCAAAAGGTACTACTTGAAACAATTATTCAGTTCCTTAAGTACATGAACTACATAACATTAATTTGTTCTCACCTCAGTCAGTCTATCCTGTATTGATTGACACTAGCTGTTGGACCATGTTATTGAGGGTCCGTCACCAAAACAAACTTGCTTACGTTAGATGCCTGTACCACTTAGGAAGTTGTTAGTATGAGATAGTATAATGGGTGGCTTTAGAATGAAACAAATGCTAAATCACATATATTATCATATGCCAATGATAACCATATAAAACCACCTATTTTCTGGATGGGCTAAGGAAGAGTAAGATTGAGATCCCACTCATACAGAATGTAGATTACTGTAGGATCCATTTTTCTCCAGCTTTGCAGTGATTAAACCTAGGTGCTCTTTTGAGAGAATAAATAAAGAAAAGGCAAATGGACTGGGTTATGGACCTTGAAGAGTCAAAGGTTTAATGATCTTGTTTATTATGACTGTGTAAATGACTTGTATTCATTTGCACACTAGTACAGGAGAGATCGGAGAATCTCAGTCAGGAAAAGTAAATTAACTTTTCTCTCTCTTTTCTTTCTCAGAGTCCCTAATGTGTGCTTTGTTATTGCGTGATGGTCAACGTGCTAAATTGTAGAAATACAACAATGGAGAGAAACGTCAAGGAGAACAAAGGTCTTGTCAAGTAGCAGTTGACGTGAAAAATGGATTAATTTTTAATGTATCTTGAAGCTACTGAAGCCCAACATTAGATCTTGGATGTAGTGAAAAGTGTGCAATCGTTTATTCGGGTCTATCTACTGTAGATAGATGTGTTAAATATATTAGAAGAATATGGATATTATTCATCATGGACCTTTTGAAAGAAGATAAAAATGAGAAAATAAATTGTTTTAGATGGAATTCGATCGATTGTGGAAGTGTCTGGGTAAGGTGGGTATTTTATGATTGACAAAATTATTTAATGAGACCTAAATGTGTGAAAAGATGTCAAATAAATGGAGGAAAAGTGTTAAGGTGACTTTTATATGACTAAAGGCAATATTGAAGACGGTACAAATTAGAAAGGTATTAACTGTGAAAGAAAGTGATTGAGCATACACTAATGTCTAACTTAAAGTTACTAGAGAATTTGTGTGGTTTATGTTATGAAGATCAGAAGCCATTTACATATTTCACAGATTGATAGAAATAGAGAACTTTTCTTTCGCATACAGTTTTATTAATAATTTAGAAAAGCTCTACTAGGGGGTGCTGGAGAGAGAGAATTTTATTGGGTACATTAATATTAGTAAGGATAAGTACAATGGTGCAACCACGATTGTGAGATGTTGTGGTAGTGTTGAATAATTACATATTAGCAAGGTTCTGCTTTAAGTCCTTACCGTTTCATTTTTTGTCATGGATGAGCTGACAAGCCATCACTTTTTAGAAATTTCTTTAACTTGGTTGTTACTGATTTTATCAACAAAATTAGACACATTTTGTTAATCTTCTCTCCTCAGCTTGTTCTTTAACTCTTTCTTCGGCTTTCTAGACATGTTCCCTTTCTTTTTATTACCTTGTATCTATCTTTCCTTTTACTGTTCACAGTTTTTTTCTTATCCTTCCTCAGTTCATCTAAGATCTTTAAACATTTTCTACTGATCTTTTATACTTAATTTTAAAAGAATTGACTTTAGCTTAATCTTTAAATAAATCATTTGGATTTGTTACTAACCTGTTTGATCTTTCTCTACTTTATTGCCATGACATTGTCGTGCAATCCTGTTGCAGATATTGTTGTATTCCCCATCTTTTTCCTGATACTTTCTCCCGTGTTTCTTTCGCCTATTATATTTTAAATTCAAAGTGAATTGTAAAGGATTTATTCAATGTCAATGCAAGATCTAAGTTTTCTTCCTAAGAAAATTATTGATGCCACTTGTTGTCTTGCCCCATATTTCTAGCTTAATACTTTTGCTTATTCTTTCCTCATCTAGTATCTATAATCAATTAATCACTAACTTTATGCATGTTGAATGGTTCACGTGTTGTCAACATACAAAACTAAGTTTTGTTCCACTTGAAAATTTTTTTGAATCCGCCACTAGGCAAAAAATTGACAGGTCAAGAAGAACTTCCACCCATTTTTTGAATCAATTAGATTTAAGCAGCAATAGAGTTCTGTATCAATTTAAAGATATGCTAGATATACTTTGATGCTGAGTCAATCAATGATCCATGTGGTCAGTTTTGAGAATTATTCCACAAATAGTGATTGGATGAAGTTGAGAAGTCTGGTGAAACATGTGGTGAAAGTTTATTAAGTTGATTTTCAAAACTAATTCATTCCTAGATAGGCACTTGTGCTTCAAAATAGGATATGATTGCTTTAATGTTCTTTAGTTCTCCATATGGGGGTGGGGTGGGGTGGGGTGGGGGGTTGAGTTGCATTTTCGTAGGGAAAAAACATTCGAGCAGACTCTTGAGGGAGTATTGGAATTGTTGTTCTCATCTTCTTTCTTTTTATTCATTTTGTTCGAGAAAAATTTTCCCATAATAATATTACCATCAATAGAGATAAGATCATTTGAGACAAAGCTAGAAGGAATAAAATAACATTTTTCCCTCATGAGCGTGGTCGTTAAATGGACGAAATGCTCCAAGGCAGCAATGTGTTCGGCAACTTAAGCAGAAAACAGAAATCAGGTGCTTGGAAGAGCTTCAGCGAAAAAGAAAATAATAATAATAAATTAAGAAATTAAAAATAATATTAATAATAAATTGGTGCATAATATATTCAGTTAACTATGAAAGCTCAGTTTTTCCAAGTCAATCAGGCAAACATCTGTAAAATTCGTTATTAATTTGAAGAAACTGCTCAGTAAAGTTATTTGACTTATTTCAGAATAAAGTTTATATGTATTTTAGCAAGGCCAAAATATCAACAGCATATGACCAAGGATTGTGGAATCAAATGATTTAGATGAAAAATGACTAACAAAGCCTAATTTAACGAAGTGTATCCTTTTGCAATTGAAGACCCATTAAAGTGCCCATGCTGTGTGTTTTCGCTGTTAGCTCTTTTGCGGAACCTATGTGCACTTCTAATTATTGCATGAGTGGAAATTGTTTAACTAAATGAAAGAAAATGGTCATGTAAGTGAATGATTTAGTGGTTGTTATATATTCCCTGATAAATGTTGCACTTTTCACTTGACAACAGAGCATTATGGAAAGTGTTTATAAATAGTTTAAATTATAAGTTGATAAAAATAAGTGATGGATAATTGGAAAGTACTTGTGAATCCCATGAAATGTGTGTATAAAAGTGGTTTTATAAATAATTTATATTCACCGAACATGGGCTAAGTTAGAAAATTAGAGAAAAATATTTCTTGCAAAGAAGACCAAGTGCTTGTTTGGTAATGCTTATAAGTTGTGAGTCCTACAAAATGTGTGATAATAAGTGGGTAGTAAGTTGTGGGTCCTACGAAATATGTGGATTAAAAGTCTTGCTTAAATTATTATTTAAGCTTTGCCCAACATGCTCTAATTTACTAACTAAAAGCCAAAAAAAGATAAAGAAAAAGAAAAATGTCTAGCTCTTCCAGTTTTGGTTATTTCTCCTATGGATGTTAATACGCCTGTGGGAATTCCTGGTAAGCATATTAGAATTCTAGTTACTCCTTAGGGTTCCCAATATAGTAACTTGATGCTGGAACTCCAACTTAACAAGTTGCTTTATGAGCCTGTAGCCAGGTCTCAACTCATGTGTGATCTGCTTTTGCATAATGCTATGGAACTAAAAAACCTTTTTAAAATTTTTTTTTTTTTTTTTTTTTTTTTTTTTTGTGCATAAATTCCCTGCTTGTGGGAAATGAGGAAGTGGCCATGACTAGAAAATTTACCAGTTTCTGTTTCAATCCACTTAATATTTTTCTTTCCCCAACATTTCACACAGACATTCTTATATAGGTTGTCTATTTAGTGTTCATAATTTCCGTTGTGATGCTAAATTCCCTTAGTATCTCAGATAATTCAGTTTCAAGTCACGTCTATTATAATGTTTTCCTATGATCGAATGCTTCCCATATGTTCATGTGAAGATTATCCATTCACCGCTATGCATAAAATTATGTAGTTGAGCTGAAATGTGAGAGTTGATCTTTTTTGACCTGTTGGCTGTTGTTACCGTTTTACTCTTTTCTAATTTTATGCTACTCCCAGTGTAATTTTCTGTGAGGCGGTAGCCATATATGGAGTTATTGTGGCTATCATTCTTCAAACAAAGCTGGAGAGTGTGCCTTCATCGAGGATTTATGATCCAGAGTCCCTTAGAGCAGGCTATGCCATCTTTGCATCTGGAATAATTGTGGGATTTGCAAATCTTGTTTGTGGGTGAGTTATCCTGCTCACTCTTTTTTACGTTTAGTTCAATGAGATGACTGTAATATTTATCCACTAATTCTTTTGCACTCCTTTTTCTTTCATTTCTTTCACGAAGACTGTGTGTGGGAATAATTGGCAGCAGCTGCGCTTTATCTGATGCACAAAACTCTTCTCTCTTTGTTAAGATCCTTGTTATTGAGATTTTCGGTAGTGCTCTTGGACTGTTCGGTGTGATTGTAGGCATTATCATGTCAGCCCAAGCAACATGGCCGTCTAAGGGGTGAGTTCTTATTTTGTACCAACTGTTTTTAGTTTCAGGTGGTTTTAATATTATGTCTTCATCAATTGCTTGTAGTTTTGATGGGTATTTTCTATTTTTGTCGTTTTCATGCGATGTAAAAGTGAAGAATCTTTGGCAAAAACACGGAACAAAAATATGTTACCAACAATCTCGTACTGTATGTAATTTAATCAGTTAATAAATTTGGTACGAGTTCCTATGAAATAGATTTGTTTGGTTTACTTGGAGATACTGTGCTGGGATGGGCATTCATGAGGTGGTTGAGCACATTTTCTAATCTGTGGTAGGCTATCTTGGCAGTACCCTCAGGTGGCAGCATGGTCCCCCATCCCGTCCCCGCCTCCTAAAAATTCCCAACAGTGCAGGGTCTGGGAGGACCGCCCTGTCATTCCTACCCCCACAAAAAGAAAAAACCCATTATCCCTAATTTTATTTTACTTTTTTCTCATTTTGCCTTTGCTCAAAAGCAAGGAATTAGATCTGACAGCAAGAAAGTATTAAAAGTTAATGTTAGCCAAGCCGTATAATCCGCACTTAATTCAAAATTAAGGTGCTCAATGCAATAACTTTTTGAAGATATTGTGTGGTAAGGTTATTATCAAATACTGGGGACTGCAAAGTCTTCTGTTGGGGCCCCCTGAATTTTGATTTCTTCACCCACCCAATTGAGCAACTTCACTGTCATTTTCACACACTATAGTGTTAGAGCATCAATCTAAGTGGCTAAACTTAGGTCCCGTTTATTTTTCATTTTTGTAAGAATGAGAATGAGAAATAGAGTCGTTATGAGCTTTACATAAAAAATAGAAATTCAAATTTGAGACTTGATGTGATGTGATGGATAATGATCATATTTTTCATTTTTTAATGGGGAGAGTGGGAAAAAAAAAAACAAGGGTTTAATATGTTCAATTAAGCTCTTGTTTGATTTTCATTTTTTCAAAAATTCATTTTCAATAAAATAATATTATATGCAAATTCAAAACTTTTCTTTAATTTTTAATCACATCTTCTCCATCATCTACTATTCAAAATGCACTATTTCTTTCAAAATGGGGATCAAAAGAGGGCTAAATGAGTCGTGTGACATTGTATTTAAGTGAATGTATCATTTAATGACATGTAATTGTCTCCTAAATTGTTGCTTGACATCAGTGATACCAAATAGTATTACTTTATATATAAAAAGATATTAGTGGGGAGCAAGACAAGTTAGGGTTATCTTAATGTAGACTCAATTGAAATAACCAATGAAAACCCTCCTCTTTTAGCACACACTTGTGGTTGTCAATGATCAAAAGAAGATTAATATGCTATTATTATCATAAGAGGAAACTAGTGTCCATTAGGATGTTTAGTGAAATGTGTGGCATTTAGCAAGATCTTGACATTGGAATGACCTTATTGTCAAACAAAAATAATGCCACCTAAGAATCTCAATACTAAATGATATTGACCAATTGTTATTAAGATTGGAGGTGTACCAAGTTGGCTTATGTACAACTACTTCAAGAGATAATTATAAATAATCAAAATTAATTTTTTTGATGCCATCACTTTTTCACACCACCTAATTTTTCTCTCTCTTCCAATCCAGTCAACCCTAAAAATGGATAACCACCAAGAGCTCACATGCCCTATGCTACACCTAAAGTTGACAGTGGAACAACCAGTAGAGGAAAAGAAGGAAAAAGGAGTAACAAAATAGAGAAATGTTGGAAAAAGAAATAAAAAGTAGTATTTTGAGCAAGGAGAGTGATGAGATTGAACTGAATTGAGTGAAAACATTGATTAAAATCAATAAGTGGATCAAGTCATGAAATCGGCAAGCTCGAAGTAAGAGATGGTTGAGTTCATACTTTAATATACGGTAAGCTTATAAAATTGAGATAGTTACATTCAAGATGTCAACCTTATTATAAATGCATGTCACGTCACAAAAATAAATTATGACTTAAGTGGTGAATTTGGAATATTTTTTCGAGGAAGTTTCGTAGACGTGCGATACCTATATGCCATCAGTTATAAACAATAGAAAGGCTTAGATAATGCATTGACGGGCAATTCTCAAAGGAGCTAAAATAATTGCCTTCATCGGCTAATGGAAATTAGGTTGGCCAAAAGGCATAAAATAGAAAAATATCATTGTAAATCTTCTCAAGATAGACGATGATTGAACTAATCATTTTTTATACATACAAGATGATCAAGTAATCCAAACAATATGTTTATGATTAAATCGAAAGTCAAAACTTAATATTCTTCTCGTAATCTTTGTTGACTTGAGCATGTGAATCTCCTCCTCTCTAGACAATGCAAACCAACTAAGCAAATTTGCCTAAAAAGTAACTTAAACTCACTTTTAAGTAAATTTTGTTTCTAAAAACATGTTACTTTCAAAATAGAAGTACACAAATATTTAATTTCGGCTAATAAAAAATTAATTATTTTTGAAAGTTACTCATTCATTTATCATGTTTAAACTTTTAAATAAATGTGCATGGGGGAGGTTTATGGACAACAAAAGTTATGTTTGGCTATAGCCTTAGATAATAGTTTTTTCGTTTTAGCCATGTCATTTATTGGGCAGCAATTTCAAAGAATTTCGTCTAATTATAATATTAGATCTTTTTAAGTAAATTTAAGAAGTAATCAAAAAAAATTTATGTAATCGATTTTAAGTCTGAATTAGACTTTTATTTTTTATTTTTACTTAATTCATGTATATATCATTAAAGTACACTCTAATGTACCACTAGCAAAACCGAGTACGGACCCCCTAAAGCTACAATTTTCTTGGATTCTATTACCCCTTTTGTCTCACACGACCACCAAATATTATATTTTTGGACTATTTCAATAAAGATGGATCTTAACATCAATTCTAAATTTTTATCTTAATATCAATTCTAAATTTTTCTTTTTTCACTTTCTTGAGGAATATCATGAAGCGTGAACTCGAGAGTTTTCCTTTCTCGAGGAAAAGACGATGTCAGATATGTTACCAACAAATTATTATGACATTGTTGGCAAGATGGATTGCATGGGATTACATATTACTTAAAAAAGAAATAAAAAATATTATAAAATATACAATTTAATTTTGTTTGTTAATATATATATATCATCATCATCATGCACCACAAAAAAGATATATATAACTCATATTTAAAAAAATAAAAAAAGGTTGAACCCCAACCTTGAGGGCCCCGCCCCTAGAGTTTTGTGAAGGAGGTAAATCAGGATGTGCCTCAACGGTCAGGGAACAAGAGCTGTCTATACATTGCGCCTACAAGAAGTCCAATTCCATATCTCAAGAATCGAACCCCCATATTGCGGCTGCCAGCAAGGCGTGAGATAACTTTACTTGGTTGAATATTTTGACATTTGAATCTTTACCCTTTTCAGATTGATGCTTGAATCAATTTTCAAAACATTGGTTGTAAGTAGAACCAAATAGGAGACCAAGTCAGAATTGAGCGTCTGTTAATTATACTTCAATACTTTATAAACCAGATGTTTAGTGATCTGCAAATTATCTATATAAAGCAATCTATAGAATGCATTGGAGAGTGTTTTTGAGCTCATGCATATACGTTTCCTCCCGAATATGACTTGCAGAAAAATACTTCATAATTCGTTTTATATATGAGAAAAAAATATTAAAACGGTACACTACATAAAATAATTTCTCAAAGTACCACTAAAACACTTAAAAAATCAACAAGGAAAAATGTATATTAGCGTATTACGCTCCACACATCTAATTCAGGGACTTAAATTTTAATTTACAAATCAAATTTCGAAAAATCAAATAAGGATTAAAAATCTCATATTTTCCTTTTACCTAAATTAAATTAGGATTAAAAATTTGCAATTGCAGAAAATTAAAGTCAAACATGTGTTCAACGTAAAAGTGGAATAAAGAATTAAGAGGATCCATTCCAGCTGTACGATATTGACACGTGGACAAGCAAATAGAGACGTGACCTATCAGTGGGTAAATCGTTTAGATTTCTGGTCCCGACCACGATCTTCTTCGTTTCTTCTCATGGTCGTATTATAAAATATTAATAATATGCTTGGTCTCCATTTTATCTATAATGCATTAATCTGTCTTTCTTTTTTTAAAATTACATTGTTCAATAAAATAATATTACAGGTAAATTTAATTTTTTTCTTTTTTTAACCAAACTTTTTTAATAAAATTATCATTTAAAACTACATTAAAATGGAGTTCCAAAACAAGAGTTTTATATACATATGAAAATGATTTCCTAAATACCGGTGCTTAGCTTATGTCAAGTATCGGTAACATGATACATTATTTAATTGGTGAATAAGTTAATGGTGAGTTTCACGAAATTAATGATTTACCAATTAAATGGTGTACCATGTCCAGTAGCAGATCTAGGTGGCGGCCAGCTAGGGGCGACGGACATGACACAGCTAGAGCGGGTGGTAGCCCTAGCTGGATCCGTTGGAAGAAAAAAAATTTTGGTTAACAATAGATTAAACTTTTACCTTACATTTCTGGTAATTGATCCTATTTTCAAATATCCTTGTAGCTCAGTTGGTGAGGGAAGACGAAATGTATTTAAAATATCAGGTTCGAATCCCTTGTCAAGGAATTTGTTATGTATTATTTTTATTCTATAAATTTTACCAAAATTCAATAGGAAGAGAGACAAATGAGGATTCAAACTCATGATCTCAAGTAATGGTTGTTGTAAACTTAACTATTATGGTACCTCTTGAATTGTGTCACTCAATTTAATAAAATAATATTTGTTATGTTTTGACTGGTTGAATGCAAACAATTTTAAAGATTTGAATTTGCACTTTGCCTTTAAATTATACAAAACTTGACAACAATGTCATTTAATGAATTCTGTTTATTCTTATAATAGAATTATATATGTTCAGTTTGAACAAAATAATTATTATATTTATACTTTAGGCCTTATTTAATTCCTATTTTGTTTCAAAATACATTTTTTTCTTCTTTTTATTCATATATTCTTTAATAAAATAATATTGCACATAAATTCAAAACTATTCTTTATTTTTAGTCGCACGTTCTACATCAAATCACTATTCTAAAATGTATTTTTCTTTTTGCAAAAAAATGGATAACAAAAGACTCTTAATAATTTATTGTGGCCGATGGTAGATGGTCAATAGCCACTCGTGCTGACTCAAAC